TTAAAGATCCGATTCCTAAAGGAATTCTTCCAGATAATTGGTTTCCACTAAGGTTCATCCTCGACAAATGACTAAGACTTCCAATGCTTTCTGGAAGTTCACCAAAGATGTAGTTTGAAGACAAATCAAGTTCCTGGAGATTCGTCATTCTCCAAAATTGCAATGGTATTACACTGGTGATATTGTTATTAGAGATGATTAATGTATTCATCTTTCGACTCTCCTTCCACTTGGTTGAAATTTCACCATGAAACTTGTTGTGGTTGAGGTTAATATATTCAAGATCAGGATAAACCCCAAAATTATCAGATAAATCTCCGTTGAATTCGTTTCGATCAAGTCCTAGTCTAACCAAGCTTTTACAATCTCTCAAGGTTTCAGGGATAGCACCATTGAGACGATTATCTATCAATCCGAGAACTGTAAGCTTAACGCCTTTGCAAATGTTTTTTGGTAAGAAACCGATGAAGTTGTTGTAGCTAAGGTCCATTATATCTAGCTCTAAAGAACTTGTGATCACTGGAGGGATAAGACCGGTGAGAGTATTGTTCGAGAGGATTAACATGATCAAATTGGTCAGATTTCCAAACGAAGAGGGTATATGCCCTGTAAGCGAATTGTTTGCTAGCTCGAGATCTTGAAGTGAAGATAGGAGACCAATGGATGGAGGGATATGACCGATGAAGGAATTGCTATGGAGGGACAAAGTGACCAATTTGGTTAGGTTTCTTATTGAAGAAGGTATACGCCCCATAAGCGAGTTTGTTGATAGTATGAGATCTCGGAGCGAAGATAGGAGACCCATGGATGGAGGGATAGGACTGACGAGGAAATTGCTATGGAGATTCAAAGTGACCAAATCGGTCAAGTTTCCTACCATAGTGGGTATATGACCCGTAAGTGAGTTGATGGATAGCTCGAGATCTCGAAGTGAAGATATGAGACCAATGGATGGTGGGATAGATCCGATTAGGGAATTGCTATGGAGATACAACGCGACCAATTTGGTCAGATTTCCAATCGAAGAGGGTATATGCCCCGTAAGCGAGTTTCTTGCTAGCTCGAGATCTCGAAGCGAAGATAGGAGACCAATGGATGGAGGGATGGAGCTATTTAAGTGGTTTTCAACGAGATAAAGGGTTTCGAGGCTTTGTAACAAACAGAGCTCTGGCGGGATTTGTCCCGACAACCGGTTGAAGGACAAGTCAAGGTAGATGAGCTTAGAAAGATGTTGGAATTCGGGAGGTATGGTTCCAGAGAGACGGTTCTTGTATAAATCAAGAAAAGAGAGATTGGGAAGAGAAGAGAAGGGGAAATCATGGAGGGTACCTTCGATACCGGTCTGAGTGAGGTTCAACCCTACGACACTGCCTCGAGAGTTGCAGGAAACACCAAACCAATTGGTGCAGAGATTGTGACTGCTGTTGTTGTTCCACGAAGACAGCATAGGAGCGTGCCCGGAGAAAGTGGACTTCCATTTCAGAAGACCCTCTGCTTCCGAAGATGCAACAGAAGAAGAGGAGGAACTCCTCACTGTTGAAGAGAACAAAGACAAAGAACACAAGTCGAGAGACATGATTTATGTCACTAGACATCCAAAGATACCCTTGGATGGAAGTAGAGGGTTTGATGATGAAGTCAACACGTGAGAGGATCCAATATGTGGCCGTTAGAGCTAAATTATGGAGATTATAATTGATACAAATTGCATCACCTCACTCTCCAATCAAGGGAAGATTATATGCATATTTCCATTTATGTATTTGTCAATAACTCTTTCCTTTTCTTCCTTAGTTTTAGACCGTTGTTATTAGTATTTTTCCTTTATCATTTGCGTGTATATTAATCTATATATTGCACGCTTTATATTTGTGAAATTAATAAGAAAAAGAAGTGACCTAATAATTTAGGATCACCTTTCATCTTTTTCGTTATGATTTTGCTTCTATTTCATCTTCTTTAGCTCAATTTCTTTTAATAATCTTCATGGTATCAGAGCATAAGGTCTAGTGGACCTTGTGTTTTTTATTCCGCTGCAAAATCGAAGCATATTCCCTCTCGGTTGTGTGTATACCGAAGAGGAGCCTGCTCATTTCATTTTTCAGAATTTTGTTCTCCCTTTCGGTCATTCATTCAAACCAAAAGGAGAGTTTTCTTCAAGTGAATCGTTGGCCATTCATTCAAGCCACGATTCACCAAATTTTTTTTTTGTCTCTTTCGGTCTTTTCATTTCAAACCGAGAAGAATTTATTTGTCCTATCTCGTTATCACCAATATGTGTGAGTATTGTGATAGTGATTGTGAGTATGACGAGGTTTACGAAGAACCAGAATACAGGGAGCATTGGGATGTGGAGGACGTTCTAGCTAAAATACCAAAGTCCCTAAGAGAGACGTTGGTGCAAAACGCCAATGCACACAACATTGAGTTAAGTGTTTCTATTCTTGAAGATTTATTTCGAACTAACGAATTTTCTGAATTGATGCAAAAAGCACAGGTAGAAAATATTGAAGAGGAAAAGACAATGCATGGAGAACTATAAACCGATCAGAAAATCCATGACAAGGGTAATGACCTGGATCATGAACGCTCGGAAGAAGAAGAAGGAAGAGAAACAAATGCGATTAAGAATGACCTCATAACGGAGGCAAAGAACCCCGAAGAAGAGGCGTCACATCCATCTGAACTCATTCCACATCCGAGTATAATAAAAAATCCGAGCATCCCCTTCGCATGGAGAGAAACCCAAGTTTGTAGTATCTTCTATTCTCCTATCACTTTCGATTTTTGTGTTTCAAGTGATATGTTTGGTGTTTTTAGTCATTATGTCCAGAAAATACAACAAATACTCATGCGACGTCAAGGTGTCGAGAAGCTCACGAGTGAGGGAGAATGTCATGATACACTCCTAAACTTCTCTTCCGAAAAAAGTATATCCGAACACAACTTGTTGGCATCACTTATGAGTTTTAATAACTCTAGGCATGGTAAATTTATCTTCAATAATTTTGTTTTTGATCCCGGTGAAAATGAGTTTGTATTGCATGATGAAAACGATTTCATATATATTAGGAGTATGATTAAATTTGTTTGTGATATCAATAAAAACCTAGATGAAATATTTGAAACTCTTTGTAATAACTCATATCACCAAATGTTAGCATATAAACTTGAGTTTAAACATATTATGGGTCTTTTCTTACTCTTATATGATGATAATCATATCATTGCATTCTTCAAGTCGATTTCTTATAAAAATCGGAGTGTCATGGCCTCCCTTGTAGTATTTGATGATTCTTGTGACATGTTGCAGAAAATAAAAGAGAACATAATATATTTTGGAAGCTTGAAACGCAAGAAAGATATTGGATACTCGAAGAGGAATCAACACATTCTCTTGGCAAGATTAACTTGCCGATATTCTCTCAAGTTAATCTTGAGGGAGAATGTTGAAGAGAACAAAGACAAAGAACACAAGTCGAGAGACATGATTTATGTCACTAGGCATCCAAAGATACCCTTGGATGGAAGTAGAGGGTTTGATGATGAAGCCAACACGTGAGAGGATCCAATATGTGGCCGTTAGAGCTAAATTATGGAGATTATAATTGATACAAATTGCATCACCTCACTCACCAATCAAGGGAAGATTATATGCATATTTCCATTTATGTATTTGTCAATAACTCTTTCATTTTCTTCCTTAGTTTTAGACCGTTGCTATTAGTATTTTTCCTTTATCATTTGCGTGCATATTAATCTATATATTGTACGCTTTATATTTGTGAAATTAATAAGAAAAAGAAGTGACCTAATAATTTAGGATCACCTTTCATCTTTTTCGTTATGATTTTGCTTCTATTTCATCTTCTTTAGCTCAATTTCTTTTAATAATCTTCACTCACAACCACGAAGAAGATGAGCGGAACATAAAGAACATCGTACGGTTTTTTATGAACCATCCTCTCTCTCTCGATTGGTTTCTTTGTCTGCGTCCATTGCATTGGGGGCTCCGGCTTTTTATACTTCTCTTCTATTTGTTGTATTCATATTTTCAATTACTATATACTTCATTTTAAGGATAAAAAAAATCATATACTCTCATTTATCTCAGTTTCATATTCTTTGTTGGCTTAAAATTGAAGGCAAGCGCTTACATCCCACATTCATCTGTCTCAGTTTCATAATTTTTGAAATCCAAATAATATTTGAAATCTATAAAAATGACAGAAATATTCCTATCTATATTTTTCCAATTTTTTCTAAAAAATCTCACCATGAAATATTTGCCACTTTAGTTTATTGTAATAATTGCTGTGCCGAGTCATAACTCTTCCCCACTTTGAGGTTGTTACATTGGAGATTCAATGTATACAAAAAAAAAAACTTGATCAAATAAAATGGAAAAATGCTGATCATCAAGTTGCACTCTTGACCGACGTGCCCAAGGCTTAGTGGACTTGGTGGAATTTATGGAATTGTCCTTTAGTGGACTTAGCGGAGATTACGGAATTATACGATCCTATTTTGTTTTTTTTTTAAAATTCATTATAGATGATATGTATTGTAAGTTTTTAGTAAGTTTTTAATTATTTACCGAATAAGATATGAATGTAATCGAATCAAATCCAACATAAAAATCTAACGGGATTTTTCAAATCCGAAAAAAATCGAAACCGAATCAAATAAAAAATAACCAAAATATAAAAATTTATTTGAAAAAACGAAGCTTACTTGACGACATATGTATTTATGTGAGACTGATGTTAGAGGATAAAGCTAATGGAAAATGTTGGAGCAACGTTTAATTTGGTGTGAAGGAGAGAGAGGTGGGCGTTTACTTGGAATCAACGCACAACACAGTAAAGTCTTCTACTTTTGGAAAGAATCTCATCGATAATATAAGATATTATTTCCATGGAAAATTCATAAAATCAATCCCTTGGAATTATAATCCTGTCTACACGGCACTTGACACATTTCAACGCTCCTTTCAAACATATGTTTAAGTTTCTAAAGAGAAATTGAATTTACCACGATTTCTTTATAAGGCAAAAAGAGCGGAAACAACACATTTTCTACGTAAAGTCTACGGATGGAGAATATTAACTGCACCATATAAAACGACCGTCTAATTATACGTATAGATCAGACATAACATGTGATGGAAACTTCCGCATCAATAATGCTCCTTTGTCCGATGGATAGTCACAGCCTTGAGCCAAAAAACACCAACAGTACATGCATGCATGCATGCACGCCCAGTTCATGTTACGGCAGCACGGCTAATGCGATCCACCCCTTGTTACAAATAAAAGCAGATGGATTACAAAAACAAGAGAGTAACCTGTAATTAAAAAATATGATGATGAGCTTCATGATGAATCTGCACATATATATATGGCACGTACAGTTGTATGTGCATCATATTCATACATTCATTAATTATATGCATGCACGGTAACCTATTTGGTTATGTTTTAGAACAAACCGAATAAGCTCAAATAACAGGCTCGTTTTGACCGATTATCATGTCTTTCGAACGATTGTTTCCTCCATATCATTCTTATTTAAATTTCAATAAAATCTTACTTTGATAGAAGCAGAGGTTACTCACCATTGTCTCTACGACAGGGCGTTGGAGATGGAAAGCATGGTCGGTCGAGACAATGGATCAGACCGCACACACTGAGATGCAATTCTCACAATCTGTTGGATCTTCTCCTCGATCCGCCATGGAAATGGCAAGCGCTGGTCCAATATATCACTCAATCTGATGTTCTCTTCGGTCAACGAATACGATGAAATCGAGTCTCCCGGATGAGAGCCTCTCAACACTTCGAACGTCAGGACTCCGAAACTGTACACATCGCATTTCTCCGTCGCCCTCATCGTATAAGCTAGCTCTGGATTACATATAATCAAAGACAAAACAATAAAAGTTAAAAAAAAATGGATAACTTTGTATTTTTCCCAAATGTTATAAGTTTTGTCCATTCTTTATGTACCTGGTGCCATGTAGCCGTAAGTGCCCACGACAGCAGACCAATTTGAAGAATCTGCCTTGAGGAGTTTTGCGGTACCGAAATCTGATACCTTAGCCTCATATTCTTCGTCCAACAGAATGTTCCCGCTGGTGATGTCACGGTGTACAATAGCCGGTGACTGACCATGGTGCATGTATGAGAGCGCGTGAGCAACACCCTTCACGATATTAATCCTCTTCCTCCAATCAAGTCTCTTGGCTTCTTCCTCGTCTTCCAATGCTTTTGCTAGACTACCTCTTTCCAAGTACTCACACACTAGGAACGAGTGGCGCCGATGAGAGCAATAGCCGAAGAGCTTCACAATGTTACGATGGCGAATTTCCGTCAATGTTTGTATCTCGTTCAAGAACTCATGTTGCACTTCCGGCATTGATATCTCGTCGTTCGCCGTCTCATTGAACTTTTTGATAGCCAATATCAAACCTGGTAGCCTTGCTATGTAGACGCGTCCACATCTTCCTGTTCCAATGAGATATTTTTGATCGAAATCTTCTGTGGAGTTGATGATTTCTCGGTATGCGAGTTTCCCATCAAAGTTTGTCACCAAGAATTGTAACACAGGCTCTGAATTTGCATTTCCAATAGGTTGTTGTTGTCTTCTTCGTGTGATGAAGATGACAGCTCCAACACAAATGAAGAAAACTACAATTACACCAATGGTGAGAAATAACACCAAAGTTTTCTCCTTTCCCGAAGATTTCTTTCTTCCCAAGTAAGCAATAGGGCATGGCTTGAGTCCCTTTTTGAAATCACTGCACAACCCTTTGTTACCCTCTAATGCCTCCAAATTAGCATTTCGAAAGGCAAAGTTATCCGGAATCGGACCCTCGAGGTTATTGTGTGATACTTTGATGACTCTGAGACCATGCATATCCTTGAAACTTGTGGGGATGATACCCGAGAGATTGTTGTATGAAAGATCCAATGTTTCGAGAGAGGATAAAAAGCTTATTTGTGATGGGATTTCACCGTCGAGTTGATTTTTGCTGAGATCAAGTGTTGATAACTGATCAAGCTTCAATATCTCGATGGGGATGCCTCCGTCGAAGTTGTTTTGGCTCATGTTCATGTAATAAACCTTATATAGGTTTCCAATGATCTTGGGGATTTGGAATCCAAATCTGTTTGAGGATAAGTCAAGCGACTCAAGTTTGGTTAAAGATCCGACTCCTAAAGGAATTCTTCCAAATAATTGGTTCCCACTAAGGTTCATCCTCGACAAATGACTAAGACTTCCAATGGTTTCTGGAAGTTCACCAAAGATGTAGTTTGAAGACAAATCAAGTTCCTGGAGATTCATCATGCTCCAAAATTGCAATGGTATTACACCGGTGATATTGTTATTAGAGATGATCAATGTATTCATCTCTCGACTCTCCTTCCACTTGGTCGAAATTTCACCATGAAACTTGTTGTGGCTGAGGTTAATATAATCAAGATCAGGATAAACCCCAAAATTATCAGATAAATCTCCGTTGAATTCGTTTCCATCAAGTCGTAGTCTAACCAAGCTTTTGCAATCTCTCAAGGTTTCAGGGATTGCACCACTGAGTCGATTATCTATCAATCCGAGAGCTGTAAGCTTAACGGCTTTGCAAATGTTTTTTGGCAAGAAACCGATGAAGTTGTTGTAGCTGAGGTCCATTATATCTAGCTCTAAAGAATTTGTGATCATTGGAGGGATAGGACCGGTGAGAGTATTGTTCGAGAGGATTAACGTGATCAAATTGGTCAGATTTCCAAAAGAAGAGGGTATATGCCCTGTAAGCGAATTATTTGCTAGCTCGAGATCTCGAAGTGAAGATAGGAGACCAATGGATGGAGGGATATGACCGGTGAAGGAATTGCTATGGAGGTACAAAGTGACCAATTTGGTTATGTTTCCTATTGAAGACGGTATACGCCCCATAAGCGAGTTCGTTGATAGCTCGAGATCTCGAAGTGAAGATAGGAGACCAATGGATGGAGGGATATGACCGGTAAAGGAATTGCTATAGAGGTACAAAGTGACCAATTTGGTTAGGTTTCCTATTGAAGAGGGTATGTGCCCCATAAGCGAGTTCTTTGATAGCACGAGATCTCGGAGCGAAGATAGGAGACCAATGGATGAAGGGATAAAACCAGTGAGGGAATTGCTATTGAGGTACAAAGTGATCGAATTGGTCAGATTTCCAAAGGAAGAGGGTATATGCCCCGTAAACGAGTTCATGGATAGCTCGAGAGCTCGAAGTGAAGATAAGAGACCAATAGATGGAGGGATATGACCGGTGAAGAAATTGCTATGGAGGTACAAAGTGATCGAATTGGTCATATTTCCAAAGGAAGAGGGTATATGCCCTGTAAGTGAGTTCATGGATAGCTCGAGATCTCGGAGTGAAGATAGGAGACCAATAGATGGAGGGATATGACCGATGAGGAAATTGCTGTGGAGATTCAGAGTGACCAAATCAGTCAAGTTTCCTACCGTAGTGGGTATATGACCCGTAAGTGAGTTCGTAGATAGCTCGAGATCTCGAAGTGAAGATATGAGACCAATGGACGGGGGGATAGGACCGGTGAGGGAATTGCTATGGAGGTACAACGCGACCAATTTGGTCAGATTTCCAATCGAAGAGGGTATATGCCCAGTAAGCGAGTTTCTTGCTAGCTCGAGATCTTGGAGTGAAGATAGGAGACCAATGGATGGAGGGATGGAGCCGTTTAAGAGGTTTTCAATGAGATAAAGGGTTTCGAGGCTTTGTAACAAACAGAGCTCTGGCGGGATTTTTCCCGACAACCGGTTGAAGGACAAGTCAAGGTAGATGAGCTTAGAAAGATGTTGGAATTCGGGAGGTATGGTTCCGGAGAGACGGTTATTCCATAGATCAAGAAAAGAGAGATTGGGAAGAGAAGAGAAGGGGAAAGCATGGAGGGTACCTTCGATACCAGTCTGAGTGAGGTTCAACCCTAGGACACTACCTCGAGAGTTGCATGAAACACCAAACCATTTGGTGCAGAGACTGTGGCTGCTCCTGTTGCTCCACGAAGACAGCATATGACTGTGTCCGGAGAAAGTGGACTTCCATTTCAGAAGACCCTCTGCTTCGGAAGATGCAACGGAAGAAGAGGAGGAGGAACTCATCACAACCACGAAGAAGATGAGCGGAGCATAAAGAACATCGTACGGTTTTGTATGAACCATCCTCTCTCTCTCGATTGGTTTCTTTGTCTGCGTCCATTGCATTGGGGGCTCCGGGTTTTTATACTTCTCGATTGGTTTTCAATTACTATACGTCGTTTTACGAGAATACATAAACAAAAAATTCATATTCTTTGTTGTCTTAAAATTGAAGGCAAGCTTATGTCCCACATTCATTTATAATAATATTCGTAATCTATTAAAATGACAAAAATATTCCTATATTTTTCAAATTGTTTGGAAAAAATCTCACCATGAAATATTTGTCACTTTAGTCTATTGTAATGATTGCTGTACCGACCCATAACTCTTTCC